GAATTCCCATCGGCTGTCGAGCACCAATCCCAGATACTTCATGGTGGACTCGACAGCTATCCGGGCCCCGCTGACCACGATGTGTGAACCCGGCGGCGGCGCGCGTCGAGGGCCATGGAACACCATGGCCTCCAACTTATTTAGGGCCACCTCCAGGCCCAGGCGCCGGATGCGGTTCACCACTTGTGACACCGCAGCCGTGGCAACCAACGCTGCTTCCCTGTGTGAACTCCCCCGGGCAGTGACGAGCGTGTCGTCCGCATAACACGTCAAGTCGGCGCCCGACGGGAGTTCACCTCTCAGCACCCAGTCGTAGCCGATGTTCCACAGGAGCGGTCCCAAGACCGATCCCTGCGGAACACCGCACGACATGACGCGCCGACCAGCGCCGTCACGTCCCCAATAGGTAACGCATCTCTCCTCAAGGTAAGCCCCTATTGTGTGGTGGAGGTAGGGAGGCACGCGATGGTAATTCAGCGCCTCCCGAATACAACTCCAGGGTAGGGTGTTGAAGGCGTTGGAGATGTCTAAGGACACCGCCAGCACCACCCCACCCCGGGATACTGTCTCCTCCGCCAGGGCCCTCACGCGCGTAATAGCGTCTATGGTGGAGCGCCCGCGACGAAAACCAAACTGGTTCTCGTCCAGGTCCGGCCCCTCTCTGCACAAGTGGCTGACGAGGCGATCTGCGATGATGCGCTCAAGAAGTTTGCCCGCCTCGTCGAGGAGCACTATGGGCCGGTACGCGGACGGTGAGTCCGCGGGGCGCCCCTCCTTCCTGAGCAGGACCAGCCTCCCCTCCTTCCACACACTGGGAAACTGACCCTGCTCGAGACATGCCGTGAAGAGCCCTCTCAGCTGGGGCTCTAGCTCCTTCAGAGCCAGGACGAGAGCTCGACCAGGAACTCCGTCGGGTCCGGGCGCTGTGTTCTTAGCCCGGAGTCGCGACACGGCCGCTCTCGTCTCTGTTTGCGTCACCTCGGGGACGTCGGTGCTCTCCTCTTCTGGAGTCGGGGGGGGAACCTAACCTAACCTAACCTAACTTTTTTTTTTTTTTTTTTTGTCGTGGGGAAATCCTCATGGATACCTCCGGCTGCGGGGGCAACCGGAAGGTTATGCCGGACTCCTACCGGCTAAAACCCCACGGTGCCTCCTCGCACGTGCGCGCGGGGCCGCGGGAATCCAAATTCTTCCGCAGCCCCACACTAGTGCTGGCCCGGTCTATCCGGGCCTCGTCTCCTGCTCGGGGTAGCGAGGTGTTCAGCTACCCCCCTCCACAGCCTCCAACTCCACCTGCGTATCGGACCCCCCCGAGTCCGATACGCGGAGGCCATGGGGCCAGGAAAATCGAGCGCTTTGTAGCGCCCGCTTTCCCGACCCCAGCGGCGGATCTGGTCTCGGGTTCCGCCGCCTACCAAGTTTCGGCCGCGGAAGGTAGGGAGAGCGGCGACTCGCAATACCGACACTCCTCTCCCCCCGCGGCCCCACCACCACCGCATCAACGGTGCCACCCCGTTTGAGTCACGGAGGATAGGGCGAGTGGCGCATCGCCATACCAACACTCCTCTTCCTCCGCGACTCCACCTCTGCTGCAGCGGTAGAGGGAGCGGACACCCCTCTCACCGCAGCCCACCAACACACATCCGAAGTGGGCTCGTCAAGCCCACTCGGAGTGGCCACCTCGGGCCGGCCCTACACCTCGGGCCAGCCAAGGGGTTCCTCTTTGTTCACCGCGGTTGACCAAGCCAAGGCTACTAAGCCCCCCCGCCACGACAAGGCGGGAACCCGTTCGGGGGGGAACCTAACCTAACCTTTTTTTTTTTTTTTTTTTTTTTTTAACGGGGGGAAATCCTCATGGACTACCTCCGCCTTGGGAAAGGCGGAGGGGCGTGCCGGACTCTTACCGGCTAAAACCACCCCTGTGTCTCCTCACACGTGCGCGTGGGGCCGCGGGAATCCAAATTCTTCCGCAGCCCCACACTAGTGCTGGCCCGGTCCGTCCAGGCCTCGTCTCCTGCACGGGGTAGTAAGGTGTTAAACTACCCCGTGTATCGCCTCAGGGGCGCGCACCGACACCCGCGCGCGCCTCCGCCTCGGGTCCATCGAGTAGGGGTGGCGGGGGCTTCCCCAAGTCCCTCGCCCCTGGACCCATTTATGGGGGCCGGAAAAGGGCGTTGTCCGCCCTTCTCCTGCGCCCGGTGCGCCTTCTGCGGCCAGGGAAGGGAGTCGAGATCTCCCTTTCCCGTTCCGCAGTTTCCTTCTGCGACATCACGTCCTCGCAGAAGGACACCACTGCATCCCACGACTCTGCGCTACCGACCATCTTCTGCACTAAGGCCGGCAGCGACAGATCGCCTCCTACTTTATTTGTGAGGACGCGGCGCTGCTCCTCCCAAGCTACACACTCGGCGAGCGTGTGTTGCGCCGTGTCCTCCCCGCAATGGACGCAGTGGTGGCACCGAGCGTCCGGTTCCCTGTCTATGCGGCGCAGGTACCATACAACCTAACCTAACCTAACCTTTTTTTTTTTTTTTTTACATGGGGAAATGCCTACGCATACCCGCCTCGCGGGGACAAGGACGGGTTATGTCGGACTCGCACCGACTAAAACCCCATGGTGTTCCACCCTCGTCGCATATTGGCAGGGCCACGGGAACGCTTTCGCACACTTCCGCGGCCCCACCTGCGCTGGCCGCCCCATGGCGGCCCCTCCCCGGGAGAGGACCACTCCTCCCCCATTTCCCTCTCAGGTAAGGCGCACCAGAACACATGGCGCGCCCTCCTCCTCGGCCTCCAATTTCATACGCGCCACGGACGCCCCCGCGTCCGATGCGCGAAGGCCATGGGGCCTGGAAAAACTAGCACTCAGTAGCACCAGCCTTCCTAACCCCAGCGGCGGATCTGGTCTATGGCTCCGCCGCCAACCAAGATTCGGCTGCGGAGGGCAGGGAGAGCGGCGCCTCGCAATACCGGCACTCCTCTCCCCCCGCAGCCCCACCACCACCGCATCAATAAACGGTGCGGCCCCGTCTGAGTCGCGGAGGATAGGGCGAGTGGCGCATCGCCATACCAACACTCCTCTTCCTCCGCGACTCCACCTCGGCTGCAGCGGTAGAGGGTGCGGACTCCCCTCTCACCGCAGCCCCCCGACACACATCCGAAGTGGGCTCGCCAAGCCCACTCGGAATGGCCACCTCTGGCCGGCCCTACACCACGGGCCAGCCAAGGGGTTCCTCTTTGTTCACCGTGGGTGACCAAGCCACGGCTACTAAGCCCCCCCGCCACGACAAGGCGGGAACCCGTTCGGGGGGGAACCTAACCTAACCTAACCCAGCTTCGTTCCGCCCGCCGACGCGTACGCCACGTTTTTGTATCGCTCCTGTGTCTAAAAATCCCTAAAAAATAGTCAAAGTGCTCTGATTTTCGTGAAATTTTCTGTGAAGGTGTGCTTTGTGCTGTACTATCCTGTGGTTGTGTTTGTTCAGTGGTTTCTGAAGATTTGGGTCGTTTTCGCTGAAATATTCTCTCGGGAATAACCTAAAAACTGCAAAAGGTAACATTTTTATCATACTTTTGCTTACGCTGCCCAATTAAGATCTATGACCTATATGGTTTTTTATGTCATCTTGTAGGTCTTTTTGGTGCCCACCTATTCCCACTTATTTCAGATTTTTTCGCCCAACAACCACTGAACTATAACACTTTTTTTAAAAACCACGTGGCGTGGAAAATTTTTTCTAAAAGCCTGTGCTTATTTTTGAGAACGCCACTGGATGGGGCACATCTTTAGCAACACAATACAATTTTGTTCACGAAAATCGCATTTGAGACCACGTAATTATAGATGTTTAACCTGTTTTCATTTATTATGAACAAATTCTAGGTCAAATAATTTGAAATTTTCAGTGACGATCTATAATTTTTAATACATTTTACTGTCGGCAATTTAGTTATAAAACTTTTCACAAAAATTTAGATTTTTCCGTTTTGGCAATTAAGAGATATACATTTTTTAATCAAAAAGCACTTTCACGAGGTCCCACTTCCAGACTTCTGCGGCTATTTCTAGATAGACCCTACAATAGATATATAATTTTTGTTCAAATTTCCGTTTTTAGAATTTGATTGGCTCATTTAGTTCCATAAATACGTAAATTTTTGTATATTTTTTGTGTTTTCCCGTTATTAATTGTAATTAAATAATAATTTTCTAAATTACATAAAAGTTTCACAATCCTCTAATTAAGAGCTATCTGTGGATACCAAACTCGAGTACTTTATCTTTATAATCTCCAAAGTTAGCTAAATCGGAACTAATAGGTCGCCGTATTGGAAATTATATTTTTTGAATTTCCGTAACCGGTCAAAAGAGGCCGTGTTTGGTCTCAATTTGGTTGGGGGAGATCGGGGAAGGCGGTCAATTGCTTAGTGAGAGAAAAAATTTTAGGTGGCCCACTAAGTCAAAAACACATTCTCCACATTGTTCCCTACAGATTGAGCCCAAGCTCGAGCCATTTCGGAGAATAAACACCGTGCTGGCAACGAAAACAATAATCAGGTCGGCCATATTGGAAATCTTATTTTCGTGATATCTCGTGAACTACCTGGCCAAAACTGGCCGTGATTGGACTTATATCATTCAGGAGAGTTCAGGGAATGCGGTAGTATGGCTAGCGCATAACAAAACTTTAGGAGGCCCACTACCCCAAAAACACGTTCTCTGTATTATTCCCTACGGATCGATTCGATCGGTCGGCCATATTGGAAAATTTTGATTGTTAATTACTCAGGAACCACAAAGCCTAAACTACCCGTGCTTGGGTTCAAATTATTGGGTATTGTACAAGCAGTGGTTCCTGAGAAGGAAGAATATACCAATTACGGTCGCCATATTGGAAAAATTAAGAACTTAATATCTCTGCAACCACTTGTGCAAACATACTCGAGTTTGGGTTCTTTGGTACCGTCGTCTTGAGGACTATTCAAAAAAAAAACAAAGTATGTCAGACAAATCAAAAAAATCGGTGTCAGGTGGTTCCGAAAGACACACGGGCCTAAAGAAAAGACCAACAGTTGCAGCAAAAATCGCAAAAGAGCCTAACAAAACACCATCCACCGTACAACCCTTGGAGCAGGTAACCCAGCAGGAACAAGAGGTTTCAGCTCCGGAACCCACGGACATGGTTGAGCAACAAAAGGGTTATCAAATTAGCGAACCGTCCGAGAAGCCTGAAATAGACTCAGCTTCGAGCTTCTTCTCACCACCTAAACTCGATGAGGCAACCACTTCATCCCCCGTTCTCACAAGAACTGGATCAAACTTACTGAGAATACGCACTCAAATAAAGCAGGCAAAAGCTGCAGAAATTCTAAGAGCAATGTCAGAGGCTGAAGAAACAGGTGACTCGGACGTAGACAGCGGTGACACCAATATCTCACTAGACGCTTCAACAAGATCAATAGGAGGGAGTCGCATGCTGCTCAACGAACTGCCTAGACACGCAAATGAGATTCTACAAAGGGCCAAAGCAGACCTGGAAAAGTCGGGTAACCTTAAGAGGGAGATTCGAGAAAGTGTTGTAGCTGGTCTGTACACGCTTTATGAGATGATCCTAAAGTTATCCGACTCCCGAATGCTTCATATGTTAGAATCAAGCAAGCAAAAAGCAAATGTCTCACGTGAATCTGAAAGGCTAACTCAAAGGCATGCAAGATTTATGCATGAGACTTTGGGCCAGTACGCTCTACTGAAAGACAGCATAGAGAAGCTGCAAAAGGAAACCGAGTCCACTAGACTTATAGTTTCATATGATCTTTGTGAAGCAATGACTGCAACAAGGCGAGAGATCACAAACATACGGAGCGACACAAACTTGGACTCTAATCTTGCAAATCAGCTACGGATTATTACGGAAGAAATAAAGCAACTGCGAGGAGACATGATGTCTTCACACAAGCCGGTCACTCTAGAAGAGCGACAGTTCCCTATTGCCGAGGAATTAGGAGAGCTTCGGCGAATTACCCAGGAGCTTTCCACCAAAACCAAACAAAGTATGTCACCTAATAGGGGCGAGGAAACTATCAGAATAGAGCAGCTTGCGAAGACCACCACAGAATTGCAACAGCACATAACAGACACAAAAGTACACCTAACTGCAGACGTGCAAGAATTAAAAAAAGAAGTTCATACGATATCACAAGACATCAAAAGTCTAGCTGCAATCTGCTCAAGCTCCTCATTTCCATCAGTTCAAGCCAGTTTGGAAGAACTCAGGAAAGATACAAAAGAGCTTAGAGATACTGCACTTGATTCAACGGCACCAATAAGGGTAGCCATTGAGAGCCTCAGGACTGAACTCAAACAAAGAACAGATATTGAAGGAACAGAGCTAAGAGGCTTCTCACACCTGCCCGGAGAACATTATACTGAGCGATATCAGCACACACTAATGCTTCAACAGAAAAAATTTCCACGCTCCTTCTCAGAGGTAGTTGCAAAACCAAATTACCCACTTATAGTGGAGTCAATTGATCCCAGACGGACAAGTGATGACGTAATAAAGCAGATTAAGGGCGGGGTCGACGTGGTTGACTTAGGCATCGGCATCAACCATATTAGAAAGGCAAAGAACCAGAAAGTCCTCATCAGCTGTGAGTCTGAAGGAGACAGAAATACACTTCAGGACCAACTTAAAAGCACAGCCAATCAGCTTACCGTGCACAGGCCAGCCACAAAATTCCCGCTTATACGCTTAACAGGAGTCGTCTTCGACTTGACGGATGGGAAGATCGTAGAGGCCGTGATGAAACAAAACGCTACACTTCTAAACGACATCCCAGCATCACAAAACCACATAAAAGTAATTAGGAGAACTAAGGGTCGCACAAGTTCCACGTGCAATGTCATCCTAGAGGTAAGCCCACAAATCTGGACGAGACTACAAAACCAAAAAGTCAGAATAGGCTTCCAAATAGTACCAGCCACAGACCAATCACCGGTAATACAGTGTTATCGATGCCTAGGTTATTCTCATCTAGCGCGAGAATGCCAAGTTCAGAAAATCGCATGTGGGTACTGTCCTGAATCACATGACACAAGAGAGTGCTGCAATAAAAACAAAGTACCTAAGTGTATAAATTGCATAGATAGAAAGGAAACTGATGCCAACTGTGCCCATCCCGCTTATAGCCCGGAATGCCCGGAGTGGCGTAAATGGGACCGGATTGCCCGAGCAACCATTTCATACTGCTAAAGGCACTGAAGTCTTCCCACAAAAGCATTCAAGGGCTATAAAAATTGCACAAGTCAACCTTGGCAGAGGATTCGCAGCGTTACAGGAATGCCTAAAAACGGCGGAATCGCAGGGAATATCAATAATCTTAGTACAGGAACCTTACGTAGGTGCTAAGGCACATGTTACTTGTAGGCACAGAGTTATCCAAAAGCAAACTAATGACACTCAAAAACCCGTCAAATCTGCGGTCATTGTCGTTGATTCGTCCGTACAGTACACTGTAAATCCTGATATTATTACAGAAAATATTGTTGCATGTAAATTTAAAATATATAACCACTATGTTGCGATTATTAACATATACATGGAAGGGGCTCAAGACGTCGGACAAGACCTAAGAATAATTTCCAACTACAGAAACATTCTAGACTCAGAAAATATAATCATTGGAGGAGACCTTAACGCAAAGAGTCCCTGGTGGGGTTGCGATGTGGAGGACAGACGGGGAACAGCTATATCGGAATCATTTGCACAGCTGGAACTACATATACTGAACACAGGGAAAACACCAACCTTCTGGGCACATAGAGGAAATAGAGATTATACCAGCATCGTCGATGTTACTGCATGTTCAAATGGTCTACTCAACAAAATAACGAACTGGAGAGTCAACCCTGATTTTGTCACCTTATCGGACCACAGAGCTATAACATACAGTGTTAACCTCGAAAAAATAACGGCAGAAGCCACTCAGAGACAAACTACACGTATCTATAATACAGGGAAAGCAGACTGGGCAAGTTTCACCCATTTTCTGAAGGAGGAACTAAAAGTACTGAAGATCACCGAGGAATCCATCACTGAAATAGGAAACACAGACGCTTTAGAAGATCTTGTACAACAATACGTCGATTGCATTCAGAGATCCTCCGACAAAGCTATTCCAAAGCTGGCAAAAACCATCAGCGCAAAGACTCCATGGTGGAAAAAACAACTAAGTGACAAGAAAAAGATGTAATCCGAAAAAGAAGGAAAATAAAACATGCCAACCAGAACAGAAGACAATCAGTGATTGAAGATTATATAACTGCCAAAGCAGAATACAAAAATCTCCTGACTGACACTCTCACTTCAAGCTGGAAAGACTTCTGTAAAAAACAAGACCGTGAAAATTTGTGGCAAGGGATATACAGGATCATAAGGAAATCGAGCAGAACTCCGGTGGATACATTGTTACGAGAAACGACAACTAGTAAGATAATGACCCCGGAAGAGTCTGCTAAAATATTATCTGAAACTTTTTATCCATATGACGATATCGAAACGGATGAACAACCACACTCAGAGATGCGACAAAAGGCTGAAACAATCAAGAAAGAATGGGCGAAGATCACCAAAGAAGATACCACAAAACCATTTACAAACACTGAGGTAGAATTTATTCTTCAATCAATGAGCCCTCGGAAATCACCAGGAGAAGACAGTCTTACAGCCGACATATGTTACAAAGTTTATGCGGCTCTTCCACAGATACTCTTGGCAATTTACAACAAATGCCTTGCACTTGGACACTTTCCAAAAACCTGGAAAAGCGCAATAATTAAAGTCATCCCAAAGCCTAACAAGGAGAACTACACACTTCCAAAATCATATCGGCCAATAGGACTCTTACCTGTACTGGGAAAAGGGCTCGAAAAACTATTCGTTAATCGAATGACCTGGCAGATCGGCTCAGAAAATAAAATGAGCGGTAGGCAATACGGGTTTGTCTCACAGAGAGGGACTGAGGACGCCCTATGCAGGGTTTAAAAAACAGTGAAATTGTTGTGATTGTCTCCATTGACATTGAAGGAGCTTTCGATAACGCTTGGTGGCCCGCAATGATTAATGAGCTTGATAAGAAAAAGGTTGACAAATCTGTATGTAGGCTAATCGGAAGTTATCTCACAGATAGACAAATAAAATTAACATACGCAGGTAGTGAGATAATAAAACAAACCAACAAAGGATGCATACAAGGATCTACTTGCGGATCTCTGCTGTGGAACCTGCAACTTGACCCATTACTAAGGGAGGTAGAAGAACTAGGCACCCACATACAAGCGTACTCAGATGACATATTGATCATTGCGAAAGGGAAAGCAGTAAAGGACCTAGAACAAGAACTTAATACAGCACTTGATCACATACTTGCTTGGGCTAAAACTAGGAAGATGAGACTGGCGGCTCAGAAGACGCAAGCCATCCTACTAACTAGGAAATTAAAATACGAAACTCCATCGTTATCCCTCGATAATAAAGCAATAACGTTCTCTAACAGCATAACAATCCTTGGACTCACGATAGACGCCAATCTTAACTTTGTAAAGCACGTAGACGTAGTAACGGAAAAGGCAATTCAGCTTTACACAAAGGTCTCAAGAACGGCACGAGCCAATTGGGGTCTTAATTCTGAAATTCTCAGAACAATATACATAACAGTGGTCGAACCAACAATCTTATATGCGGCGGGGGCATGGGGCACAACGGCCAATAAAAAGCAAATAAAAACAAGACTCAACAGAATCACCAGAATTTTTGCAATAATGGTTAGCAAAGCACACCGCACAGCATCTTTGATATCATGCACAACACTAGCCCGAATCATCCCATTAGATTTAAGAACCCAAGAAAATGCTGAGATCTTCATGATAAAGAGAGGCAAACCTATTTCGCATTTACCAGACAGAACACTAGCGAAACCAATAAGCCCTTACACGCTACTACACCCAGCAGACAGGACAAGACAACGGTTTGAACTGATAACATCTGAAAACGAAATAAAGGCTATTGGAAACGACTGGCCGTGCATATACACCGATGGCAGCAAAATCGCAGGTAAAGTAGGCGCTGCCATTACTTGTTGGGAGAACGGTAGAGAAATCCACAAGACCAAATTAAAACTCGGAAGCCACTGCAGTGTCTACCAAGCGGAACTTGCTGCCATCTTAAAAGCCACCGAAATAATGCTGCGTAGACACACTCTTAAGAAAGCAAATATCCTAAGTGACTCACGATCAGCTCTAGAATGCCTAACAAATCCTAACACCTTACACCACATAGCAGCGGAAATTCTAGATCGCATCATGGAAATAGAAAGGCAACAGGGAAGAGTGAACCTATATTGGATCAAAGCTCACTGCGGCATCCAGGGGAATGAAAGGGCTGACGAATTAGCTAAGTCGGCAGCGGAAACATCAAAACAGACACCGGTATACGATTGCTTCCCTCTGTCCTTCGCAAAGCGCCACATTAGGGACAACACTTTGCTTATCTGGCAAGAACGGTACACAACATCAGACACAGGTAGAGTCACAAAGAAGTTCTTCCCAAACGTGACCCAGGCGTATACAACAATTAAGAAGATTGCAGTCAGTAACCTGAGGTGTCAAATTTTCACGGGACATGGGGGTTTTAAAGCATACTTACATAGATTTAAGTTAGCGCAGAGCCCATACTGTAATTGTGACCACCTAACACCACAGACCATAGAACACATTCTCATAGATTGCCCTAAACACGCAGCTTTAAGACTCTGTTGCGAACACCGCATGGGATTTGCGCTGAGAGAAGACACTCTCTGTAGGGCAGTCAACGACAATGACAGTCGAACTCATTTCCTTGAATTTGCCGAAAGGTGTCTGAGGAAAGTATTACAAGGAAATGGGTCCAAGATATATTAGCCTTAAGATAATATAGTTGTAATAGCAATAGTTATAAGTAGGCAATAGTAACACTTAATCACAAAAGATGTAGATAAAAGCTTAGGCTTGATAACTATAGCACTTCTTACTGATGATTTGAAATTTAGACAATAAGAATAATACTGATTAACATCCCACGACTCTGCGCTACCGACCATCTTCCGCACTAAGGCCGGCAGCGACAGATCGCCTCCTACTTTATTTGTGAGGACACGGCGCTGCTCCTCCCAAGCTACACACTCGGCGAGCGTGTGTTGCGCCGTGTCCTCCCCGCAATGGACGCGGTGGTGGCACCGAGCGTCCGGCTCCCTGTCTATGCGGCGCAGGTACTCGCCGAAGCAGCCATGCCCCGACAGCACCTGCGTCACCTTAAACGACAGGGAGCCGTGCCTTCTCCCGAGCCAGTCGTCGAGTACTGGCTGGATCGCCTCGACGGTAGCGAGGCCGGCGGTAGGGCGCAGAAGCCTTTGCCGCCATTCCGCCACCAAGACCTGACGGAGCTCCTCTCGGCGCAGCGCGATCTGTCGCTGCACCGGCCTCGAGCCCCGTGCCCGCTCTTCCTCGCGCCATCGATATAATGACGCGAGTACTTTCGCCTCTAGGTCCCAGGGCGGGGATCCGGCCAGGACGCAAGCCGCCTCGTAGGAAATCGTGCGATACCCGCGAACGACTCTGACGGCCATCGCCCTCTGCGGTTTACGCAGAATGGCGAGAGTGCTGGCCGTCATGTCCATCGCCCACACAGGGGCCCCATACAGGGCCATGGACCGCACGATTCCCATGTACGACCGCCTACAGGCGGCGCTCGGGCCCCCCAAGTTGGGAAGCAACGTTGATAGCGCGCCCGCTGCACCCATCAGCTTGGGCGCTAGCCGCCGGAAGTGGGGTCCGAATTCCCATCGGCTGTCGAGCACCAATCCCAGATACTTCATGGTGGACTCGACAGCTATCCGGGCCCCGCTGACCACGATGTGTGAACCCGGCGGCGGCGCGCGTCGAGGGCCATGGAACACCATGGCCTCCGACTTATTTAGGGCCACCTCCAGGCCCAGGCGCCGGATGCGGTTCACCACTTGTGACACCGCAGCCGTGGCAACCAACGCTGCTTCCCTGTGCGAACTCCCCCGGGCAGTGACGAGCGTGACGTCCGCATAACACGTCAAGTCGGCGCCCAACGGGAGTTCACCTCTCAGCACCCAGTCGTAGCCGATGTTCCACAGGAGCGGTCCCAAGACCGATCCCTGCGGAACACCGCACGACATGACGCGCCGACCAGCGCCGTCACGTCCCCAATAGGTAACGCATCTCTCCTCAAGGTAAGCCCCTATTATGCGGTGGAGGTAGGGAGGCACGCGATGGTAATTCAGTGCCTCCCGAATACAACTCCAGGGTAGGGTGTTGAAGGCGTTGGAGATGTCTAAAGACACCGCCAGCACCACCCCACCCCGGGATATTGTCTCCTCCGCCAGGGCCCTCACACGCGTAATAGCGTCTATGGTGGAGCGCCCGCAACGAAAACCAAACTGGTTCTCGTCCAGGTCCATCCCCTTTAAGCCACGGGTGAACGTGCCCTTCAGGCTGCCAGACTTGGTGGCAACCTTCAGGACTAAGTCCACCCCATCCAGAGCCAGCTGGCTTAAGGCCACCGCAGATGGTTCTCCCCCTTCTGCCGCAAGAGCAGCTCGTCGCTCGCGAGCACGTCGGGCCATTTCCGACACTTCTTCGGCCGCGACGGCTTTACGCTGCTCCCTCTTGGCGGCGTTGAGCTCCGCCTTTGAGCTCCCCAGCGAGGCACAGCTTTCACCGCCATCGCCAGGGTCCTCCGTAGTGAACCCCATGTCGCTCCCTGCTTCACTAGCCGCCGAGCTATTGGAGCACACGAACCGACCGTGCTTATCCCTCCGCGGCTGCGAAGCACTCGCCCCTCTCGATGCCTGCCGACCCCTCCCTGAAGTCGGCAACTTGGGAGCCGGCAGGCCTTCCTCTTCTGAAGACCGGCACACTGGACGTTTCCTAGCGGAAGACGTCCCACGCGATCGATTTCCACCGCTTCCAGTATCTGATACTGCCTTCTTTTCAACCTCTACGTTTTTAAAGTTTTTATATTTTTCCATGTTTTATCCCACGAGTGTGGAGGAAATAGCAGTCCATCCGAGCAGTGCCTCCTGTGCCCGGATAAGCCTATGCGTAACCCGTCAAGGGTGTCGGCCGGTACCCCGACGGGGTCAACGCTAACGACTGAACATTTACCCATCAGCCATGCAGCTCCTCACGGCGTGCCACGCTTGAGCTTCGGGTGATTTTTTAAAGAGGTTATCATCCTCGCGACTCCAGGCGGTTAAGCCAAGAGCCCTCGGCCTCTTAGGCGCCGCGAGACGTGATCCACGACACGCCAGAGGGATTCCGAGGTTCGAATGGTGGCAGAGTCGATACGGGTTCTTCCCATGCCTGCCCAGAGACCGGGTGAGGGAACACTGAGCCCATTCAGTTTCCTTTTTTTTTTACAGGGTGTGGTCCCTGAGAATCCCGCGATTACGGGTTGCCCGGCGTCGGCAAAAGCCGAGTGCACCTGGCACCTCACCGCGCATGTCACATTCTCTGTTCCTCTCAACGGAAAGGATACAGGAAGCAACTAGAAGGCCCTCTATTAGCCAAACAAGCCCTCAGCCAGCCAGTTTTGGTCCACGACGGTTTCCCGTTACCACCCATATCTGAGTGGCGTTCCCCTATCCGCCACCTGGGGACGCGCCCGATGGGAGCTTTGGCAACTCCACACGGGAACCTAACCTAACCTAACCTTTATTTTTTTATTTTTTTTTTACATGGGGAAATGCCTACGCATACCCGCCTCGCGGGGGCAAGGACGGGTTATGTCGGACTCGCACCGACTAAAACCCCATGGTGTTCCACCCTCGTCGCATATTGGCAGGGCCACGGGAACGCTTTCGCACACTTCCGCGGCCCCACCTGCGCTGGCCGCCCCATGGCGGCCCCTCCTCGGGAGAGGACCACTCCTCCCCCATCTCCCTCTCAGGTAAGGCGCACCAGAACACATGGCGCGCCCTCCTCCTCGGCCTTTTTTTTTTTCACATGCGCAACGGTCGCCCCCGTGTACGATGCGCGAAGGCCATGGGGCCAGGAAAAACTAGCACTCAGAAGCACCAGCCTTCCTGACCCCAGCGGCGGATCTGGTCTATGGCTCCGCCGCCAACCAAGATTCGGCTGCGGAGGGTAGGGAGAGCGGCGCCTCGCAATACCGACACTCCTCTCCCCCCGCAGTCCCACCACCACCGCATCAATCAACGGTGCGGCCTCGTCTGAGTCGCGGAGGATAGGGCGAGTGGCGCATCGCCATACCAGCACGCCTCCTCCTCCGCGACTCCACCTCGGCTGCAGCGATAGAGGGAGCGGACACCCCGCTCGCAGCATCCCACCGACACACATCCGAAGTGGGCTTCCCAAGCCCACTCGGAGTGGCCACCTCGGGCCAGCCCTACACCACGGGCCAGCCAAGGGGTTCTTCTTTGTTCACCGTGGTTGACCAAGCCACGGCTACTAAGCCCCCCCGCCACGACAAGGCGGGAACCCGTTCGGGGGGGAACCTAACCTAACCTAATATGCACTTTACAGGGCGGTTCAATTGGCAAAAAATAGCAGGGAAAAACCCATAAACATTATGAGCGATTCTAGGTCCTCACTTCTAGGACCTGTTGGGAAACCCTAAACTTATCCATCCTCTGACGAAGCATATAAAAGAGTGATTAGAAGACATCCGGCCACAGGGGAGACGAGTGCGGTTTTTCTGGCTACGAGCGCACGTGGGGACTGCCGGAAACGAAGGCGCTGATGAGCTAGCGAAGACCGCGGCCCAACAAGCAACAACTGTCCCAGACTATGCAGAAGTCCCGTTGTCTTATGTCAAAAGAAAGATCAGAGAAGAGTCTGTACGGAAATGGCAGGATAGGTACAACGCCTCCAGTACAGGGCAAGTCACCAAAACGTTTTTCCCCGATGTAGATAAAGCTTACCGCATCGTGAGGAAAGCAAAACTGACACACTACCAAGTGCAAATCATTACAGGACACGGCGGAATAGCTGAGTACTTACATCGGTTCAAGTTGAAAAACAGTCCCGGCTGTGAGTGCAACCCAAATATCAGTGAGTCTGTGTGGCACATCATCCTGGACTGCCCACGATTCCAGATGGCCAGAATGGACCTTGAATTTAGGGTAGGCACAAAAATAAATAAAGTAGTGTTACACAATATCTTGGACGACGCTGATAAAAGACCGCACTTCTTAAAGTTTGCAGAACATACAATTCGTATAGCTGCTAAAAGGAACAGTACTCTTCCTCCAGTAACAACTCAGCAAACTGAGTCGTTGAATTTCGTGAATTTAAGTAATGTAACAACACAAAACACAGACATAGAACACAGAAAAACAATTAATAAGCCCGCAAAGAAACTACTGGAATATGCTGAACTAGGTAACCCAGGTCTTAGATTTAAAACAGTAGCCATGTTTATGGACGACTCCTCTGAAAGGCTAGGTATTTGCTTCTGCAACGCGATGGCTCCAAATAGAATAATCATCTCACCCGGCCTCGCCTTACTCCTAAAAGGCAGCGCCTTCAAAACGAGCATAAAACGTAAGAAGTATGAGGCGCTACAGAAGATAAAAGTAGCAAACAACCACTGTCGAATAGTCCGCACGCGAAACAAAACCATGGCACTATTCGAAAAAAGGCGACGACATCACCGAGTTCGCCCAGGCATGCTCAGTGCTAGCTGTGCTTGCGGAGGCAGGTGAGGCTAAAGAAGTACCAGCAAAAATAATAAGCGTAGATGCTATGGTGGTAGAATATGAGAAAGGGAAGGTAGAAGACTACATGGGAGTGTTAAAAGCCTCAGAACAACATGAGGTGGTGGTATACGAAGACAGAGGTGAAAACCTCAGTTTTATGAAACCACTCAGACCCAACGAACCTTCATGCTCGTACCCTACTAACAGCAGGGAATATCCCATAGTAAGCCCAGAAGAAGTATTAAGCGGATCCGAACGCTTGCAACAAAAAAAAAAGAAATGGACGCCGAAAGGAGAAAAGTTAAGCGGCCACGAATAATCCCAGCCGAAACAATAGACAAAGTAGCAGCAGTCGCTAGCACCTTCGGTCAAGTCATCGCTGCAATCCCCGCAGTAATCCCGAAGAAAAGAGAATATCTGAGGTCAACAGAGAAGATGGTAGCCGCTGTTAAGAGCATTGCAAAGCACTTCCCCAAAGGTCAAACAAGAAAATCCCTATGCACATGGACGAAAGCAGACATGGGACAAGTCACTCTGCCGAGCCTCAGGGAGGCATCGGAGCCCCAGGACCACTGGATAAATGCATTCCTAGAGTTTAAAGCTATCGTGAAAGCTACCAGAGAGGTTAATATCATAACCTGCAAGAACATCTTGGAAACCTTTCACCGAAGTTGTGCAGATCAGCTTGTGGTGAAGCTCGAGGAATCCGAAGCCGCAGTGTACAACAACGACACAGCTGAAATAATTAAAGGGAGTGCGTCGGGATTGTACATGGCGGCATACAACGCAACAGGTGGTTTTGTGGCTTTGGACAGAACTGAGACAAAGCGGTTGGGTAAACTTGTCTTTCGAACACCTCCTCACGACCCCATAGTGGTAACAGCAAACTGTACGAGGGTTATGCTTGAGGACAAGATCCTGGACAGGCTTAAGGCTGTGTCCATAACCTTGGAGGAAGGCGGCACTCTTGGGCTTTGGCAGTTACCAAAAATAACATGGGTCAATGGCGTACCCGGATGTGGAAAAACATCTTGGGTTATTAATAGTTTTGAGGCGGAAAAAGATATCATAATAACAACAACAACTGTAGCTGCAAGCGACCTGAGGGAGAGGCTAGCATCACGTGTAGGAGCCGACGCAGCAAGGAAGGTGCGGACTATGGCCTCAATCTTGGTAAATGGCATAACGGCGTCTGCGAAATACACCCGTCTCTTAATTGACGAAGCGCTTATGAACCATTTTGGGGCCATAGTAATGGCAGTACAAATCACGGGTGCAAGTGAAATTCTTCTTATAGGCGACAACAACCAGCTGCCGTATATCGACCGGCACGATCTGTTTCGACTGCACTATACTCGTCGAAATCTAGTGGCTAATATCAACCACGAATGGCTCTGCACGCACAGAAACCCATTGGATGTAGCGTATGCACTAAATGAGATCTACGAGGGCATTTA